TCCTTCGACAGCCCACGACCGGTTTCGCCCTTTTTGGGCTCATCAGGTAGGCGCAGTACCCGGGTTTCCGTCAACCTTATGTTCTACTTGAAACCAAATTGCCTGAGAACATCACAAACGAGAGATTCAGCTGGCTTTCAGGTGAGTCTCTCAAAAACCTGGTTTGCAAATGAGTGTATATTCGCTAATCCACAGAAATAGTTTTGGCTGCTTAGGTGAGTAGAACGGTTACCGAATGTATGGAAAAACTGTGAAATCCGAAGGACTGTTGGGTACTGTGTAGTAAGCGCCGAAATCTACCCACATACAGAGGTTCTACTAAATTTTCCCGATGAGATTGCTTTTGTTTTGCATTGATCCTTCGTCGAGTAAGTCGAACTGAACTGTTTTGGTCTGTCCCTTGTAGCGACTCTTCTTGAAAGGTGAAATTCTGATAAAGCCACCGAATTATTTACGTCTTTCAGGAGGTATTGATTCAAATGCTTGTCCGACTAGGCAGAAAAAACTTGCACCTCGTGAGTTAAACCTTGTTAAGCAGTGGTGAAACGTTAGTATTTTTGGCCACTTTGGAACACTGTATAAGATCTGCGCAGCATGGAAATTTCTAGGCTGAAAAAACAACAACTCGGTCACTTGGTTGCGATAAGTAAAGGTTAGTTAAACCATCAGAACTGGATCCGTGTGTGGGGGAAGAAGATTATTGGCGAGCGTCTGAAGAACATGATGTACAGCGTTCTTTCTAAGGCTTCATAACTGCATTCTGTGGGACCAGTTGTGTAATATTTGGTCAACGTTGATAGGCCAAAGGAATGATGTCAGCACATTTTGTCCCACTTCATTTCTACTTGACACGCGAAAGCAATTCACAGCCCATGGGAAGAATCATTGCACCTTGCCTCCCGATCCTGGTTACTAAACAATATTCACGGTCAGCCGAAATAGAATATGGAATAATTTATACACAGGGGGCAATGGTGCCGAAATTCGTAAACAAATTCTGTTGATAATTGAATACATCACTGACTTACAGTCTGTCCGTGTGGTTACCAGATGCGGTTGGCCTTCCACTATAGTATCGCCTGTGTAGACCTTAAGCTGGACACTACAACGAGTAAAAGAGACGTGGGATTGCTGTCAGAACTCAAGCTTTTTTTGAACTCTTGAAATAAATAAAAAAGCAATACTTCGTGTAAACTTGGCTAAAGTAACGGCGTCACTTCGAAGCTGTCAATGTCAATAATACATATTAAATCAACATTTGGACGAAAAACGGGTGTCACTAAGACAGACTCTACGAATCAAGGGCCTTCGCCTGCGAAGGCTGAAGGCGATCTGCGAAAAGTGGCAAATTTTACACTGACATTTTGAAGAAAGCAGATCAAATCTCTTGTTTTCTATGATGTCTTTAAAAAGGCAACGTGTGTGTGAACACATTACTCGATAAGGTGCTGACGATTCTCTCTCGAGAGCAGCATTCGTCGCATCTGAAGCATACCACTGAAGCAGCCTACTCTCCTACATGTTTGCGTAATTAAAATTGCACAGTATCGGTAACTTTGTCAATTCGAACATTGTGAATGCACGGTATTACCAAAACCGGATAATCCTTTAAAGTTTGGGCCGGCGATGACATCCAAATGACCTCATACAGGCAGTCATTTTGCGAATAGCGTGTTTTCTTAGAAAACCCGGGATCCCTAGCTGATCTCAGTTCCGTGGGAACTTCCTCATCGACCGATGCTTGAATCACATAACCTGATGAGAATGGACCAATAACGTGTTTTCTGTTCATCTTGTTTTTGCCGTTATGTTGGGGACACCTTTGTTGTAATCAAACGAGATAACGTGAACAGCTTCAACGACGATCTCAGTAGTTTAATCCCACACATTAAGTTTAGCATGGAAATAGAGTCCACCTCGGGCAAACTATCCTTTCTGGACTGTAGAACACATAAGATTGGTGGAAAATTAAAAACTACGATCTACCAGAAACCAACAGACACAGGAACCGTCTTAAGCTATTCATCAGCACACCCAAAGTTCGTGTACGCCAGTGTTGTCTCATCGATGTTTCGTTGAATCAGGGCGTTGTGCACAGAAGTGACCAACCGAGATTGCCAACAGACGTCAAAAAACACGATACCCAGTGAGTTTGATTAGGCGTCAACTAAGAAAAATATTGGCTCCAGTATCTAGACCCAGTAAGGAATGGATTGACACAGCGGTCATACCATATAAAGCAGAAACATGAGAGGTTAATCGAAGACTGTTGCTTTTGGTCAACATTCGAGCAGCTTTTCAGAAGGAGAAAACGCTACGCTGTTTTGATGCAGTTGAAAGAACTCTTGCTGGTTGAAAACACCAGGGACTTCGTGTATACAATTAACTGCAACGACTGCACTAATGTTTACACAGAACAAACTACCAAGGATTTGCACACCAGAATTGGTGAGCCTAAAAGAAGGATCAACAAACCACCAAGGAATGCAGATGAATGCCAAACGCTGGTCAAAGACTCAGTGATGGCAGTACATGCCTTAGACACGGGACATAGAATAGATCTGGAGAATGTGGAAGTTTTAAGACGGGAACTGCGATTCACACCGTAGAGGCTGATAGCCGGCGTGAATAGAATCGAGGGTATGGAACTGGCGAGCGTATGGAAAGCGGTCTTAGATAAGCCGAGTTAACAAGTGACTGTGTGGTTATCAATCCACGTAGAATCACTAGCGGAAACCGGAGGTGGGGGTGGAAATCCCAACCAGACCAAAGGTCAGAGCATCCCTCTTACACAACTATTTATCACTAGCTCAGCCACAGAGACGGACAAAAGGTTCAAACGATGTTCACGAGGGACCATCAAATGACCGAACCAGAAGAACTAGGCTGGACACAAACGCATGTAGGTAGTGTTTTTCACGACACCCTGAGATTTGTCACAATTTGAATTGTGCGGCACGATGGGCAGCAGAATTTGCCTACTATTTCCATTTTTTGCTTGATCAACCCGTCCAAGGTCTTTGTTGATTTTGCGTCATGCTGTTTAATTTATGTTTTGTGACTGCGGCCACATTGTAGAAGTGAACCAAACAGACACAGAATGCATCTGTTGATTGGACCAGGAGTGAAAGCACTACTCACTGATTCTCCGTACATGGCTCGGATAAATAGATGAATTATCTGGCTAATGAATCAGGGCGTTGTGCACAGAAGTGACCAAACGAGATTGCCAACAGACGTCAAAAAACACGATACCCAGTGAGTTTGATTAGGCGTCAACTAAGAAAAATATTGGCTCCAGTATCTAGACCCAGTAAGGAATGGATTGACACAGCGGTCATACCATATAAAGCAGAAACATGAGAGGTTAATCGAAGACTGTTGCTTTTGGCCAACATTCGAGCAGCTTTTCAGAAGGAGAAAACGCTACGCTGTTTTGATGCAGTTGAAAGAACTCTTGCTGGTTGAAAACACCAGGGACTTCGTGTATACAATTAACTGCAACGACTGCACTAATGTTTACACAGAACAAACTACCAAGGATTTGCACACCAGAATTGGTGAGCCTAAAAGAAGGATCAACAAACCACCAAGGAATGCAGATGAATGCCAAACGCTGGTCAAAGACTCAGTGATGGCAGTACATGCCTTAGACACGGGACATAGAATAGATCTGGAGAATGTGGAAGTTTTAAGACGGGAACTGCGATTCACACCGTAGAGGCTGATAGCCGGCGTGAATAGAATCGAGGGTATGGAACTGGCGAGCGTATGGAAAGCGGTCTTAGATAAGCCGAGTTAACAAGTGACTGTGTGGTTATCAATCCACGTAGAATCACTAGCGGAAACCGGAGGTGGGGGTGGAAATCCCAACCAGACCAAAGGTCAGAGCATCCCTCTTACACAACTATTTATCACTAGCTCAGCCACAGAGACGGACAAAAGGTTCAAACGATGTTCACGAGGGACCATCAAATGACCGAACCAGAAGAACTAGGCTGGACACAAACGCATGTAGGTAGTGTTTTTCACGACACCCTGAGATTTGTCACAATTTGAATTGTGCGGCACGATGGGCAGCAGAATTTGCCTACTATTTCCATTTTTTGCTTGATCAACCCGTCCAAGGTCTTTGTTGATTTTGCGTCATGCTGTTTAATTTATGTTTTGTGACTGCGGCCACATTGTAGAAGTGAACCAAACAGACACAGAATGCATCTGTTGATTGGACCAGGAGTGAAAGCACTACTCACTGATTCTCCGTACATGGCTCGGATAAATAGATGAATTATCTGGCTAAACTGAGAGGCTTCAACATTCAGTACATTAAGCCAACCGGGGCGCTGAGTGTTTAGGGCGCAGAGTTACCGAACGGAAGGTCGTGGTTTGCGTCTCAGCCGCTCCTGCCTATGCATGAGGAACCTGGCAATGTCGCAGCACTTCACAGTGGCACGCCAGGAAACAAAGAAGACTCGTTACAACTGGAAGCCTATTTCTGACAATGGTAATCATCATCATCAATCATCAACGACAGCAGGTAATCGTTAATCGAGGAATTATTCAATTCGGTTTACCTGTAACGCGTCCCAGGTAGGAGTGGAATATTTGTGCATGGGAGTGATTTATCACATCCGACACCATACCGTCCAAGTTGGAAGAGGATATCAGTGAAAGTGTGGCTCTCCAGGATTTGGCCATTATTCACACCCGATTGGATTCGCTGTTGCCAAACAAGTACTTCCCAGGGGCCCTTCCCACTTGAGATTTTACGATCCCAAGCCTGTATACCAAGCAAATTAAGCAGAATTCTGCGCCAATGTATGTATATATGAGGTGATAACAAGGATGTCAAAATATATATAAATCGGCTGTTGGAATCCAAAAGTTATACAGGGTTTTAAGCATAGACTTACTGAAGGAGGATGAACCTATCAACTGAACAATCTTTGTACTAACGAGCAGGAGGGTCAAAACATACATTTAGCATCAAGATATAACAAAGTGACGGTTATTGTCATTTGTTACTGAATACCGAAGCAAGACACTGTGACAGTTGGTTGTTGGATTCTTCATCGAGCTTATCATTTGGATTGCAAACGTTTCATCAACAATCGAGGTGACATCGTCAGTGCGGAATTGATTCGGTGGAGTCCTCTTCTTCTGTCTGTGCTTATGTAGTTTTTAACAGTATCTGGTAGCTCTAAAGCGATCGGTTGGTCCCGAGGTGGCCTACGAGAAAATTGATTGATCACCTGGGAATATATATACCTGCAACTACATGGCTCGTTGGACACATCAAATTCAATAGTTTTCTTCCGCTGTTGTGATTTGGCCGTGCCTTTCTTTTTTTGCGATCTCCGATCTCACTGAGTGGTAGTCATTCTGCGCAAAGTGGAATGCATCGACAAAGTCTGTGCTCTGTTTAATAACAAAATTTCTGCATTGCGATTTGCACGATGAGTCTCGATATTGGTGACTCCACTGGCCCCCTTTGAGTTGTTCGTAACATTGAACTCAAAATAAATTGTCAAACTTAGATTCAGTGGTTTGTTCATTTCTTTTCCAAGCGTTCCGTTGCTGGTTTCAGGGTTGTCCTGTAGGTCAGCCACCATCCTCTTTGCTGTATTCAGATTAATCGATATGAACAGCGATTTTACGTCGAAGGACACTATTGTTTTGTCTTTTTCCAATTTCATGGTTTTTACTCTCTTCAGAAATTGTCCTGCATTTTCGACTGAACATTGCGGCGCGTAGGTGAGAGGCCTGAGCCGGTTCTGTAGTTCTCTTGAAATGCTGTACGCGGGTGGCCCTGGTAGCGATAGGATCGGGCGTATTGGTACCGTTTTTTTGTTCACCTTCAGAAGTCCGTAGAATCGGAGTCGGGAGGTTTCATTCCCTAATATTCTTCTACTGTAATTTTGTGAAGGTCTTTGAGATTCTTAATGCTTCCGTTTATTTTGTCCGAGAGATTGACAGTTTCGCGGTTCTAAAGACGGTGGTACGTGACTGTACCATTGATCGGAGCGTTGACTTTGTCGATGCACTTTGTGCAGACTGACTACCATTCTTCATTCATTCAGTCAGCTCGGAGACTGCAGAGAAAGAAGGAAACGGCTTAGTCACACAAGCGGAGGAAAACTATCAAGCTGAATGCGCCCACCAACCACGCAGTTGCTTGCA